TAACATCCAACGACGATATGAAATGTCACCTGTTCACGAGGAACATCAAGCCTTGGTTGGCCAGTTCACGCCTTTCCCGGGGTGTTGGATGTCGGTGAGGATCGACGAACACTGGGATGTTACACTGGCCGCCGTGCTGTTCCCGTACAGGTCGTCCGTCGTCACTTTCTCGTTCACAGTGAAACCATCCGTCGGCGAGTTGCTGGATGAAAAAGAGGTCAGATGTACGAGCATGACCGCGTCCTGGCTAAACTTCAGATGACCGTTGGCGGCGGACGCAGGGCGTCCTGCTCCAGTAGAGGAGTACACCAGAGTCAGCATGTTCTCCTCGATAACCACGCGCATGCCCTTAGCTGTGAGTGCGGCTGCAGGGACAGAGATGCGCGATTGAAAAATCCAGGCGCGCCGTTAACCCACCGGTATGACGGTGGTGTCTGCGTGGAGCAACCCATGCAATCAGTAGGCCAACAATTTACGCCGAGGAACTCAAGGTAAATATTGCCGGCTGACAACTCGCGACGCACTCGCGATCTGCGTCTCGGAGAGGTATGAGTGGTTTCCCTACCCTATCTCTTCTGCAAGCGCATCAGACTTGTCAACGTGAGGGACACGTGAAGGGTTTATGAACACGACCTGCACGTTGTCACGCGCTCGAGATTGCGCACTCGACCAATCACTTGGGTAGGTTATTCAAGTCTGCGGGTTCACCTTGCAGGTGGTGTCCATTCTCGAACCACGGATGGGGGACCAGGAAAGCCATGGTTCCCCGCGGGCATATCATGCTGTGCCGGACATTGTAGATGAGGTCTGCGAGCCTGGCGTCGTCGGCCTTACACCCCTAGAATGCGCCGACGTTGAGCAAGACCAACTTGGCCCGTCTGCGGAGGTCGATGGCAGCCTGCTCATCGCGATCCATATCGAGCAGGCTGTACTCCTCGTGCACGACGAAGTTTTGCGCCCTTGGAATGCGGTGGAGAATGTTGGTGTAAGGCTGGTGTTGCCGGGTCATACGAACATCGAGCATGCCCATGTCGCAACAAGGATTCTTGACGGGAGAGTGGCACGGCGTCAAGACACAGATTCAACACCTAATGTTTGATGCAGGGTCGCAGATACAAGCAAGACTACCGCGGGAGAAAGGAGAGACGGTGCACAAAAGACAAGGGTCAGATCGATACCCACGTTCACGGTGAAGAAAGCACCGAGAGCGACGCCACCACGGACCCCCCCGCGCCCGCCCCGTGTTTGTAATTATTTACTTGGCTACTCACATGCACTCCTCCACGTCTTCAACAGTCGCCGGCGTCAACAGTAGCCCTCCGTGACCGGTGGACTTGCGCCGACTCGCTTGCCTGGCCTTCACCACCGTGCCTTCGTTGTCTTTTTCCTGTCCTTTGGCCTTCTCCTTCCCCTTCCCCTTCCCCTTCCGCTTCCCCTTTACATTTCCGGTCCGCGGGGTGGTGTCGTAATCTTCGCCGTTTCCTCCCTCATCACCCGCACCCTCTTCATCCATGTCTCCCTCTCCGTCTCCGAAGTCTCCGTCCTCTCCGCCCCCAACATCCCCATCTTCTCCGTCAGAGGTTTGTTCGCCTTCCTCCCCGCCCCCCGCGCCGCTTCTGACGCCAGTCCCCGTCGCCTCAACTCCATTGTCGCCCTCCGTCGAGCCTTGACTGGATGAAGTGTCGGCGACGAGCTCGGAAATGTTGTAGGCGAGCATGACTTCCTGAAACCGCTTCTGGAATGTCTCGTAGTGGGTTGTCGACGGTTCTGTCTTACTCTTAGTGGCAGCCTGCTTCATCCGGCAAACGAATCGGCCGCCATATGGGACGAGAAACACAGTGGTTAAGTCGCTGCACTCCTAACACTCGATAGTCGTCCAAAGACAAAAGACGCCTTCTCTTGCACAGCGCTGCCAAAAAACAGGAGGGAATACGCAACACATAACAGGGCATGTAATCCTGGGTAGGTACCTTGTGGATGCGGCCGAGGGGTTTCGCGGCGGAGATGACGTGGAAGTGGTCGTCGGACAAACGTCGGTCGCCGGGCAATTTGCTGCTGAGTTCGTTCGCCTCGTCATCCCGCTTTTTCATCCATGGGCGGACAATTGTCTCGAGAGCGCCTGACTGGACGTAGGCGTACTTTTCTACCAGCCTATCGAACGATGAGCCGCGGCAAGAACAAGGAAAAAAAAGGTCTTTGGCTGAGTGGAAGAAAAAACAGTTGTCACGCCTTCGCGGCTAACTGCTACGGGCCTAGTGTGCCGACATGACACCTTGTAATGCTACATGACGTGTGGTATACGACGTTATCACTCACACTGCGAGCTCGGGGGACCACTCGCTACGAGCGCCGAATGCCGCCTCAGTCCGTTCCATGAAGTCATGTGCATCGTGAGCGAGTTTGGCGACGTCAGGTAGATCATCGCCCGTTAGCGCCTTCGAGTTGTCGGATGAGGAGCGGAACCTGGCGGGGAGGGTGGGGGTGGTGGTGGAGGCGTTGAAGAACCTCGCGCACAAATGAAAGCCGTACCAGACACACATTGACAGCCTCAGATAATTCGGGAGGCTCGGGATATCTGACCAGAAACATGGGTGTTTCACGTTTGTGGTGAGGGATTAAGGCTAGGTACTTTGCCACACGCATGCGTGTCTTGTACGGCCGGCCAACTCAATGCTCACCTAACCATGTGTTCGAGCATAAGAGCTTGAATCGCACCACTGGTCTGACCGGCTTCACCAAACGCGCTGTGGCTGAGAGTGGTCCACGTAAGGGACGCCATGTGGATGGAGGGGTCTTCGTGAGATCTCTCTTGGATCCGCTGCAGCGCCTGGAATCCTTCCATCGTCAGACAATTAACGGCAGCCTTATGGCGGTTGACGGTTGATTGGCTAAGTGGAGAAAGACCCCCCTGCGTTCCGACAACAGATCGTCACCAGAGGCGAGTTCCGCAGAGAGGGTTAGGATCATCACAACGTATTTTGCGACGGCATCACGAACAGAGGCGTGAAGACGGAGGACGTCTTTCCTGCCAACATCATCAGCGTCTATCTAGCTGGTGGGGGTCCCCGGAACGCACCTTTACGTAGGCGTCTTGGATCATCTTAGCAGATGGGAAAAGCGAACCCTGCNATTACGTAGGCGTCTTGGATTATCTTAGCAGATGGGAAAAGCGAACCCTGCATCTTCCTGAAGCCATCGAGGAGCTGGTTCATGAAGAAAACATCGTCGAACACGCCACGGGGGACCAGAGCCTGCGCGACGTTGTTCAAGCCTGGACGTGGCAACATGTAACAGGCACTGCTGGTGAGGTACATGTAGGTACAGGTCGGATAATTGTACGTAGATCTTGTAGCTTGTAGCAGCAGAAGTCACACCGCACATGGGCCGGAGCCCCCGCATACCCCTCCGTACAAATTCTTCAATCGGAGGGGGGGGGGGGGCAACACCTACGGACATATTGCTTTTGTTGCACATTCCTTGCTTACCTGAGGCGACGACGGCCTCCTCCAGCGGATTGAAATCGGTATAGATGCGACAGGGGATGATGAACTCTCCGCCGTACAGCTGCAGAGCACAGTGCGTCCTGTGCGCGCCGTCCAGAATCCGTAATTGGAGCTTCGCGGCTGCCGCCGCACTCAGCCCGCCGGCGGGTACATTCGATGCTTCAACCATAGCCAAGATGGCGTGCTGCTGCAAGAATCCGCGGGCTTGCTTCATGGACTCCGTTATGATCCTTACCCCTGACGTTGCTATGGGACGCCCAATTATGTTGACGTTGGTGACAGGGATGTCAAACGTGCCAAGATAGTGTTGTGCCAGCACGCCATTGAGCCCATCCTTCACCCCGGCGATCGGAGTATGTGATGACATGTCCTGCGGCAACCAATTCGTCTAATGCAATACATACATACATACACACAGCGACAGGATGGAGGAAGGGCCGCGTCTGTAAGATGACTACGCTTGTATATTTAAGTCTAAACACGGACACAGTATTGTAGCAGTGGCACGCGAAACAGCAGCAACTTTTAAAGAGAAAGATGCATGTGAGGTTTGGGTATACATACATACTACACATGATGAGGTACATAGTCTACAGGTAGGTGCTGTCTGTCATCTACACTTAGCTTAAACTCTAGACTAGACTACAAAGCTACCGTCTGCTGTAAGACTTGTCCGTATTCTACATGTACAAGACTCGGTAGTAGGCTAGTCTCGCGACATGCATATATTGAAAGGAAGGAGTACCTACGGAGGCGACAACGACTACGAGAGAGGTCGATTACCTCGACCGCGCAAGAGTCACACACGAGACACTCGTCTTTCTTGATGCATGATGTAAAGACGTGCCCATACATGCACACAGCATTGGCCATGCCCGATGGCATGGCCCAGGCGCACAGACAGCTCTAGTTCGTATCTACATCCACACGCACAGGTGTGTTCGACGTGTGCCTGCAACAATGGCGACAGTTGCTGCATCGAGACACACGGCAAACTCAGTGCCAGCGCGTCCAAAACGGCAAGATTAGACTTCCGCGAGGAATGCACGCGGAGCGTGACTCTCACCTAGCTATACGGCCCGTTCGTCGCTCTCTGCGCTCGCCTTCCCTCTCTCTATTTCTGGGTGGATCTCTGGGTGGCAAGTACAGCCATGATGTGGACCGCGAGAGCACGGCCGCCGCCTAGCGCGCCGCCTGTCCTCGGTAGTTGTCGCTGCTGTTGTCAGCGATCGGCGTGATCGCGCTCTTCTACTACTACTACTACTACTACTGCTTTAGGTGTGGTGTTATTGGTTCGCCACCCGGACGCCGAGACGGTTCCAATAAAGGTCAACCGAGAGGCCGAAATTCGTGTTCAATTACTTGATGAAAGACTAGGCGACACATAATTTCGACCAGTCACGTGACTGGTCGAACTCATGTGTTGCCCTCTTTTGGCTGCGTTGCATTGTCAACGCATCCGGCGGACCGCCCAAAACCGGAACGAATTCCCCGGAAATGTTATCTACTGTCAGGACATCCAATCACAATGTTCACCCAAAGAAAAT